ATCAGTTTAGAATAGATATGTTCAGTTTATAACAGATAAACTCTTCCTGAGCAAAAACCTAACCAATGAATATCTCTAATTCGTCTGGCGCGCAAAGCCAAGCTTAAGCGAAGACGAAGAGAGAGAGAGAGAGAGAGAGAGAGAGAGAGAGAGAGAGAGAGAGAGAAGAGAGCACCACCATGGGATGTCTAGTCGTGCGAATACCTAGAGGATTTGTTGGTCGAGAGGAAGAACAATCCCGACACTGATTACGATTCTTCGAGCGGCCGTTTGATGTTCAGCGCGGATTGAGGGTCAGCGAGGGCGGAATATCTTTTCGTGAATATCTTTTTTTTTCGGCATGCGCGCGTGTGGGCGTCACGCCGTGACCGCCAGGGAGCACGTGATTTACGCACGCGAGTGAGGTCACGCGTAGCCGCGAGCGGGAAACGAAATTGGAGCCGATACGCTCCGTGTGAAAAAGCTACCGAAATAAACTGACGCGCGCGCTCGAAGACGAGAAACCGCCAATTAGACTTCTTTCTTAAGCACGAAACCAGTCTACTACTGGACTGGAAAGACGGCAATGATCTCGAGTATTAAAGTCAAAATTGATCAAATTAATCAATTAATAAAAAATAATGTAAGTAAAAATTGTTTAAATATTATAAAATAAATTTCATTCATCCTTTTTATATATGAGAAATTATAAAAATAAAAACTTTATTTATATTTAAAAATTTTATATTTGAATTTTCTTAAAAATTGAAAGTGTAGGCAAAAGAGAATGTCAAATTGATCTTTTTCCTATTATTCATTCAGTATGAAGAAATCTACAGAGAACACATTAGTAAAAATTTAGAAAAATGATTAGAGACATTTATTTTTAAGAACTTGCTCCCATGTTAAAAAATGATTGCTATATATTAGCTGTATGTTCGTGAATAGTTCGAAATAAATCTCAATTTATAAGCATCTACGATTAACTTCTTACATCATTCAAAGAGAATCTTACAGTAAGAAAGAAAAAAAATTATCTTCTTACTCAAAATATTCTTTTTCATTACCTAACTAAATTTTATCAATTTTTCTTCAAAATATTAATGTTTAAAAACAGAATATAGAGCAAAATAACAATTTGCATGAATAAGCTCTTCGCATATAATTTTTTCAACTCATATAAAGTGTTCAATCTATTACTTCCTACGAAAATTTAATTTTTTAATAATTGTATAATTTAACTTACTGATAATTTAATAATTTTTATTTTTCATATAACAATTTCCAATAATTAACGTGTGCATTCTTGTATGAATAATTCTATCTGTGATTCCCTTGTTTTGTTATAAATGGAAGAAACGATTTCAGTTCTTTTGAAACATATAAGTGTTGGCGTGAGAAGTAAAGGAGGAATGTTCCTCAAGAGGAAAAAAACGTCTTCAACAAAAAGAGAAAAGAAAGTCAATTTGTTTAAAACAAGGGGAGTAAAAAAAGCTGACCTTTGACTATCCGATACAGAAGCATTACGATATTAATTCGCCGGAAGTTCGTTCGACCGGAAATCAACGAGTTTCTCCGGTAGGCCTGTCGGAAAGACAGAATTCGATTTACATCGTGACACGATTGCGCTGCGACTGATCCTCGTGTCAAGGCCGTACGATTAGATTACCGGACGTGCCTCCGACGTGCGCGACAATTAAACCGGCTAATTTATGGGCCACGAAAGTGCGCGCTTACGTATCAGACCTGTGACCCGCGACCTAACTCCCAGAAGGGAGAAAGAGAGCGACATTCAGTCGTGGTCATCATCGAAGATGACAGCGGAATTAGCCAGCAATAACTATAATACCGATTATGATAGCGATAACAATAATATATTACCTAACATCGTTACAAGGTTGATAGACTATAATTAATGTGATTAGACATTCCGCTTTCAGCAAATTCAAACATGTAATAAGTGACTTTATATGTAATTTTCTGTAATTTATTTTTCCATAATAAAAATAACATACTATGCTGCATACAAAAATAGATTTACACATTTAAACGTGTAGTATAAAGTTATTTTTACACGGAATACTAAATCACGTAAATGAAGGCATTGCACACTTGGATTTAGATTTTAGAGTGACAGTTTCGCTTTCAATGTAATGTTTCTCACTACAAAGTCAGTGTCAGAACATAAATAATTATCTTTTAAAAATAAATTACTATTACTGTTTTTATTTTTATCTATATATTCTTTTTCCTAATCATTCTGAAATAAAATTGTCTCACTTTGGATCCGAAACTATTCGCATTATTCACAATCACAATCACATTATTAGAATCTCATTCCAATATTGAGAAAAAATTCTAATTGAAAACGAACGGAAACCAGAAGATTCTGATCAATCAAATCAATCAAAATTTTAATTATCTCATTCGTAATAGATTTAAAGAAAATTCTGATTTTTAACTAGAATTCCATTTAATAATGCAAGTTGTTTTCCAGGGAGGAAAAGACAAACTCCGCTTATGCTCATTTCTACTAATATAGATTAATTTTAATATCGATTGAACTTGTTATCGTTCTCTAGTTCTGAGAATTAAAGTAAATTAAACTGAGATTAGAATTAATCTACATTGATAGAAATGTGAATATTAGGAGTCGTTTTCACATTCGCGCTTTATCATCTCAATATTATCACTTTATGTAACACTGACGTCAAACCATTTGTATTCATAACAGAGAAAAAAAAAAAGAGAGAAAATGAGAGGAAGAAGAACTGCTTTTTCTCGCGCACGGAATCGTTTTAACAAAGTGCCTCATCAAACGGATTTATACGTCAGCTTTACGAGCAGGCGGATTTAAATGCTGCCATTATAAGCAGAATTTTACTTTTAAATGTGTAAATATTTCGTGACGTCACGATTTCAGTAAACGAGAACGTGACAAAAGAATTAGAGAAAACTAAAATTTATATGTATGTACAAATAGGATTACAGAGTGAATGTTTTATGTCCATTTCCATCAACGTAGCTTAACTTTAATCATCAAGAGATTTAACTTAATATTTATATCTTTTTCAAATTTTTACAACTAGAAGAAAATAAAAAATGAGTTAAATCAAAATTAAAATTAATCTATATTGATAAAAATGGAGATATTAATCGATTAATAAATCGAAAATAAATTAAATAATCGAGAAATTAAATTCATTTTATAAAAAAATATAAAAACTATTATACAATTTCGCAACAATTAAATAAAAGAAATAATTTTATTTTTTAGTCAAATCAGATCTTGGTATGTGTTAATATTCAATATGAAAATTTGCAAATATATTTTTCAATTCTATATACACCACTTGAACTGAAAATAAGATTAATGTCTCTCATTTGATTTATTTTTATCAGTCTAAAATTTCACTTGTAACAATATTTTTAGAAAATTACGTTCTCATCGACGTCATTCACGAGTGCTTCCTGGTTAGCATCGACACTCGAGAGAACATTGATCTATTCATTTTTATCGCGATCACCGCGCTTCCTATATTGGAGCACTTCCGCCACGCGATCGTCGTGCACATGATTACGTTCAATTGGAAACACGCCTTCCCTTCCTCGTTTTACCCGCAAATCTATTGCGTACATTTATTCAGATAAATGTTTCCTGAAAAAAACGGCACTTTCCCGATCTGCATCTACCACGAGTTTCCTCGCGGACGATAAACAAGTTTGAAAGTCGTGCCGCGGCTTACCTAACCTCGTTGTGGGATTACTGCGTCGTAGATCAGGCATGAGGCTGCACTCACCTGCATGCTGTCGGCGGAGATGATCTCCCCGGAGAAGCGGTGCGCTAGCTCGATGGCCAGCCGTGATTTTCCGGATCCGGTGGCCCCCAGAATTACCAAAATTGGCACACGCGGCATAGACATCTCGTTATGATCGACCATCATAAGCGCGATACTGGGCGCATGCGCCGTGTTTCACCGCGAGCGCCCGCACGATTCGCTCTGCCGCGCAGGCGCGAGGAAACGGTGGAACGCGGACCGCGCGCTAGATTTCAAAACAATGGGAAACGAGAACGATGATGATGTAAACGATTCCCTTGAGCCTTTCGTATATGCCGCGTGCGTAAGGTCGTATTTTATTCACATTTCTAGCAGTGTAATTTAATTTTAACCTCGGTTTAATTTCCTCTTTATTTTTTCTGATTCCTATGTTCATTACTAGTATAATTTAGATTATTGTTAGTCTCGATTTAATTTACTTTGTATCTTTTTCTAATTTTAAGAATTAGAAAGAGATAAGAAGTAAAGTAAAATAAAGATTAACAAACTAGGCGACTGGGATATTTCATATATAAAGTTATAATTTCGTTCGTAATTTTACGTCATATTTATAATTTAAACTGTAATATATATAAAATTATATCATAAATAATAAGTACTAGAGATTATTATAATGCGCGCATGTGCTTTAAAGTTTAAAAAAGTTACCTAAAAAGCTTAAGATACTCTCTAAATCTGAATCAGTGGATCAATGCTAATCACTGATATCAATGCTACTGGTAATCAGTGAATTAAATAAAAAAGATCCCTAATCTAGCTAATCTTTATTATATGATCTAATTCATGTTTTAGTTTAATTATTAATCATTGAATTTAATTCAATGAATACAATATTGGAAGATTGAAATTAACGTGCAAATGTCAGTATTTTAGTTACATACAATGCTCAAATATTCTTCCTTTTTTGAACTTCACTGATTATCAATGCCAAGTATGCCACTGGATAATTAATGACTATCCACTGATTCAGATTTAGAGAGTAACGAAAATTTCTTGTCTGTCACAGAAATATGTTTAATATTTTTAAATTATCTTATGCTCCAATTTACTTAGCAAAAATTTAAATTCATATATAATCGATGAAATACCAGAAGAACATAATAAGCAAAGAGGTATTACCTCTTCGTCGATTATTAACAGGCATTCCAAGAATTTTCCATGAATTTTACAAATATCCGAGAATTCTTGAAAAAAAAAAATATCGATTATAATTATAAACTTATATTTATAAACTATATTTATAATCTATGATTATAACTTAGCAACTCTCAACCTCAAGCAAATAAAATATAAAATTTTAATTGCAAGAATTATAATTTTATTATTTTTTTCGTTCTGTATACATGCGCGTTTTGTATATTATAATATAATAGTACATAAAAATTATACGCAAAGTTATGTAAATACTAAATTATTTGACCCTGGTCTATTAAGTACTTGCAGCTTTTATTTCTTATTAACGCATTTCCGCAAATATTATTTTAATTATTATATAATAATACGTTGTTACGACAAAATGATAAAAATGTGAGACTTCGATAATAGATATTTTTATATCTGTATTACAAATTGACTCTACCATTGCATTGTCATCAATATACGTTGTAGACAGTAATATTAATAGTTATATATGCTCCAAAAATGTTTTATTATATATGTTTAACCTTTACTTTTTTCCAGAAAACCTTGAAAATATCTTTAAAACGTTTTTTAAGAAGTGTTATAAAAGACGTCTTTAGAATATCTTTTAGGATGTAAGTAATTGTCAGCATTCGTTAATCAACTTATAAGTAGAAAGACAGAAACGCAACTTATATAGAGAATAAGAAATGAAATTTATTTACTTATTGAAGAAAATTTTATATGACATTTTAATAATTACAATATATTCAAAAATAAAATCTCGATATATACTTGCGGAAAAAACCTTACTAAAATTTTATATCCAGTTGTGTTCTCTAACTGCACCTTTACAGAAATCTAACTGGCCAATTTAATACTAAAAGACAATAATTAATTACATATTTTAAGTATTGAAAGCACTATTGTTCGATGCTTTTAATATTCTAAATAAGTAATTGATTACCTTTCAATAATCAATTAGCATTATATTTTTGTAAAGGTATTAAAACAGTTCAAAGCTTACATAATATAAACTTTTCGCATATATCTATTACTCGAATTATTCATATAGTACAACTCTTCGTGGCAGACACATTACGATGATGACGCAATCATTTCTGCAAATAGCATCTGTTCGTGACGCAATAAACAGTTATATCTTGGAGGCGTTTCGCTGATATTCGAGTTATATTGATAAAATAAAATGGGGATTTGCGTGAGAAATACTTATTGAAATGTTGAGTAATATATGCGATGAATAATATATGCGACAATGAACAAACTCTGCGAAACCGCCATGTATCGACATACAAATTGCGTACATTATCTTGATCCAAAAACTGATACAATTTAATATACATTAAATACATTGATGTTGATTTGAAGCACCTCTAGTATATATACGCAGTGAAGTAATACAATTTTGAATAAACTGCCAATTTCTATTACTCTAATCTGAAGCTTTCGAATATATAAATTCGTGGACATGACCTAAGTTAATAAAATTCTAAATATAATCACTGGCATCTTCACTTTGACTTTTAACATATACTATTTCAAGCTATAACTATCGCTATAAATATCTACGAGACATTAAGTTATTTCATATCAAGTAGCAACTATTATATTTTTGTAAATATTTATATACAAGACATGTACAGTGTCGTTTTTTAAAATCTGTTCTTAATTGCTCTTTTTATTCTTTTTCTTAATTTTTGAATTTTTTTTAAAGAAAAACCTCATCATTCGTTTAATCTTTTCAATTCAAAATTTGCATTTGTTGTGTAGTAAACAGTAATCCAGAGAATCTTTCAACGTTATTTCTTGAACATTAGTACAGAGATATTCAAGCAAGATCTCGGTCTTGACCTTAGATGAAGACTCGGCTCGCTCTGTAAACTTGGCTACGTAAAAACGCTTGCTGATTTCTTATGAGATCGTTTCGGTAGTTCGATTACTTCTGAACTCAAGTCTCGAAATTATATAGCTGTTTTCGTCGCGACCAATCATATATATATATATATATATA